ATGATGCCCCACTCCTAGTATAGAATGGGAGCGATGGTGTCCATCCCCAGAATGGAAAAGGAAGAAGGAAGAAGTAGTCCAGGGAAGCTGGTTGTCTTCTTAGCTGCTTCTAATGGAATGACACCATTTGGGGTCTATCACCTCCAAATGGTGCCCCTTGAGTGCCCCGATGACGTTTCGGTCACTTTCATCCACAACCTTGGCGGGCTCTGCAAAACACCTCGTTTTGGAAGCAACCTTCGGGCTGTTGAGATGATACCAAGGAAAACAATTAACTCTGCTTGAGAAATATTTTGTGCTTAACCAACCATTATCTTCAGATAGATTATAGCTCCTGTGGGGAAAACAAAGGCCTTCCACAAAACATCCTGGCTGCTGAGTGCAAACATCTGAGTTCACACTGCACTGACCAGACCAAGGCCGTCAATGCTTGGGGATGACCCGTCTACGTTCTAGGCTTCAAAGCAGCCTGAAATGACTTTGAATGAGTCTGCCTACTGTGTGCCAGGCACTGGCATTACAATGAAACAGTTCCTGCCTGGCAGGAGCTCACAGTCTGTCTGTTAGGAGAGTGCACTTGGAGGCTTTGACATTGCCTTGGTCCTGTCTATAAGCTTCTGTGACGCCAGCGTCCTTGCTGATGAATGGAATCCCCCAATTATGCCATTTTTTTTTTCTGGTGGAAAACATTCAATCCGTTTTAGGATCTTGTTTCCAGGAACTCCTAGCCCTTCAGAAAGTCTTGTTTTTTGTATTTATCATTCGTTTGTTTTTTATTTATTTCAAGAGAGTTTTATTGACGCTTTGTTTTTGCCTCACAGTAATCTCTGGAGGTGAGGCAGTATGGCCCAGTGGATAGGGAGCCTTCCTAGGGTCCAAGCATCCCTCCTGACACATCCTGGCTTCTAGGGCTGGGGGGAGGGGCACAGAACCTCTCAGGGTCCCAGGTGCTTTCTAGAAGGGTCAGTTGAAGAACAGGTGCCAATCTTCACTGCCAGAAGGAGTCTTTCAAGGGCAGAATCACAGCCTCAGGTCAAAGCAAACAAAACCACAAAATCTGTCTATCTCCTGCCACAGCCCCAAATGATGAAAAGTTGCTTGACATCACTGATACAACAAGTTCACCAATTTGAAACTCGAAACAAAGCCACTACCAATCAGGTGACTTCAGTTTTGTTAAATTCATTTCCAAATCACTTTACACAGAGAATCAACACCTCATCATTAACAGTTAAAACTACAAATTTAAAAGAGCATGCTTACCCAAGTTCGGAGGCTAGCTTCTTTACCTTGAGCAGGATGTGCTGAACCTGGGTGATGCTGCCAGGCAAAGGTTGCCCCAGGACCCAAGGCCATTGCCAGTGGGGCCCAGGCTGTAACTACTGCCCCTCCCTCCTCCTTCCTTTCCCAGGTAGGGAAGGGCAAAATCAAGGGTTGGGGGTAAAGGGTGAAACTCTCTTCTCCTATGAGAGGAATTAACGATACCCTCTTGACTCAAGGGAAGGGAGTGGGAGAAAAGAGTGACCAGGGTTGTAAAGAGGAGTTTCCAAACTCCTTAATGATTGATCACAAAACCTCCAGAATCTGCCAAGATATTTGTAGCTGTTCTAACTTTTCCCTGTTACCTCCATGAAGGAGAATTCAGAGGTGCAGAGGGAAGGGAGTAAGCAAGCCTCAGGGAACCAAAAAGCACCTGCAGTTTTCCCCAATTCCCTAGCACCGAGGGAATTAACAAAATTGAGCATACGCTTCCAGACAGGGCATCGTCCTCGTTCTCTATGCTGCAGAAGGCGTACCCAGTGGACCAAGAGCCTAAGGGTGTCAGGCTGAGTGAGAGACAGCCTCGTAACTGTCTGCCTGAAAAAGCTCCAAGCCTTGGTGCTTGGAGAGCGACCCCAACTACAGAGCAAGAAAGGGGGAGGGGGGCGGCTTACATACCTTCCAGTCTTGGCTAGGGAGCTTGGGGTTACGCAGTTCCCTGTACAAGCCCCAAAATGTTGAAGTTTAGGGGTTTAGGGGTGCTGGGACCCCAAAATCACAAGTGGGTCTTGCCCGACAGAATTTGACCCAAGCCTTCTTTCGGCCAGACTAGGTTTATTAGAACACCTGTCATACTGAGCAGACTCTTAAGGAGTCTGGAAATTAGTGAGCTATTGGCTAGATTTTAGGAATCTAAGCCAGGGGGAAGCTCCTGAAAAGACAAGGCTAAATTCTCCCCCTGGAGCCCAGAGGCATTTGTGGAACTGGGGTTATGGACAAATGTGCCGATTTTACCCTGTTCATCCACCTCCAGAGAAAGAGCTGATGGAGTCTGAATGCAGACCGAAGCATATTATGTTCACTTTTTTTTTGTAGTTTCTTTTTGGCTTATTTCTTCTTTCCTAAAATGACTAATACAGAAATATGTTTTATATGATTGCACGTACAAAACCTCTATTAAATTACTTACCATCTTAGGGAGGGAGTAATGAAGGAAGGAGAAAGATAATATGGAACTCAAAAAAAATTTTTTAAATGAATGTTAAAAAATTGCTTTTGCACGTAATTGGAAAAAAGTAAAATACTATTTTAAAAAAAGGAAGAACTGAGTTCAAATCCGACTTCAGATACTTTTTAGCTATGTGACTTGGGGAAGTCACTTAGCCTCTATTTGCCTCAGTTTCCTCATCTGCAAAATGGAGATAATAACAACACCTACCTCAAAGGGTTGTTGTGAGGATCAAATAAGATAATCCTTTTAAAGTGCTTAGCACAGTGCCTGGCACATAGTAGGTGTTGTATCAAAATGTTAGCCATTGCTATTATTATAGGGAGAACCAGAGAGGTATGATAGATACAGTATTGGGACCTAGATTCAAATTCTGCCTTTCCTAGCTGTATGAACAAGGGCAGATCATTTTATTCCTCTGAGACTCAGTTTCCTCATCTGTGAATTAAAGATTATAATCCTTACACTACAATCACAGAGTCTCAGAGCGAGGCCATCTAGTCCAACATCTTACAGTTGAGGAAATTGAGACCCAGGGAAGTACAGTGACTTATCCAAGGTCACACCATGAACTGATGGTCAATCTTTTATGAGCGCTTCAAGCTCATCACTTGTGTAGAAATCCAATTTTTCCTTTGATGCATGTGCTCGTAGGACCCTAGATTTAACAAGAATAGCTGACATTTCTATAGCACTTACTATTAAATTAAATAGTAAGTTATATTTAGGGTTGGAAGGATCCTGAGAGGTCATTTGACAGATGAGGAAACTGAGGCCTCATTTGGCTTAGGTGACTTGCCCAAGGACATATGGAGAGTATCAGAGGGAGGATTTAAACCCAGGTCCCCTGACTCTAGGGCCAGTGCCCCTCTCCCCAAAGCCTGCAGTTCCGTCTGGCCTGCTCCCTTGATCTGAGAGTTTGGGGGCATGCTTGGTGACCAGTGGCAGTGGGGTGCTTTCCCTGGGGACCCCTGGCTTCTATGGGAGTCTAGGT